GAGGAAAAACGAATTCACGGTAATCAAGGTAGAAGTTTTTTTCAAGTTTTATATTTATTTCTTCTTACAAAGTTATAACAATTTAAAGTATCGATAATTTTTCGTTTCAATTAATTGCGGAGCAAAACTGACCTTACGAAAACAGTTTGCATCTGTCAGAATACTAATAATAAAATTTTTTGGGGACAATCGAAACATCCTACAAATTTTTCTATGCAATAACATATATATTATAAAATATTTGACAGATATTAAATATTATAAAATACACGTTCTATTTTGATGCTTTTGCTATTTGTTTAAACTGGAAAATCTAGTTTTCTCGATTGTTGAGCGCAATATAGCAACCATAATATTTCTAAAAAGATCGTAGAATCAATCCTGGATCCACTGTGCCATCCAAGTTCCGTGACTCCACTATGTTATCGTACACATAGGTCTCTTGTCTCCATTGTGTCGCTATCTTGGCCTACGACTTCAATGTAGCGCTCTAGAGTCCCACGACTCCAGTATGTTCTTGTTTGAGTCCCACGACGTTAATGCATCCTGATACGAACATCCAATTTTAGAATAACGCCACTCCTAAAATTTCAGTGCGCCGTTACTTGAACTACACGATCGCCGCGTTTTAATGACTCGGGCAAGTGATTACATTCAAATTTAACGATACGACATTCTCCGACTCTGAAGGTTCAACGTCTAATAAAAATCAACGAAAATTCAAGTTCCATCCACGCGACTCGAGCTTTGTCAGCTTTTGAAGATTTTCGTTAACACAATCGCGTTATTGTCGATTTTCGCATTATTCATACGAGTCAGACTATGTACGTACGTGCATTTACATTTCCGTCTGTTTCGTGACTAATTATTTTAATTCGACGGCACTCGCGTGCATTTAAACACGCGTGCATGTTTAAGGAAAGCGTCGTAACGCGAGCATCGAGCAATCGCGCATTATTATCCTTATTATTATGCCACTGTTTGCTCTTCAACGCGAGAACGTTCCACACGCTTTCAGAGTAATTTTATCAATCGCCGGTCATCTTCCGCGTTTACCTTTCAACGTTCTCGATCGTTTCGAAGGTTGAAACAATCGGCGGAGAAGAATGTTCGTGGCGTTCTTCGCTCGACTTGTTTCTAAAAAAGTTTGATCTTTCTTCCGTTGGGCAAAAAAATAAAGGAAGCCTTCTCTAAGCCTTGACCCGTCTTCCCCTCCACCCCTCACCCGGTCTTGACGAGCCAAAGGAGAAAAAGTCTTCTGACACGAAATTAATTAAAACTTCGTTTTAACGGCCGACGCGTACGCTTCGACGAGGAAGGGGGAGATTTGCGTGGAAAGTGGTGGTCGTCGTTGCGTCTACACGCGATCGCGGTTTGCCGAATGGAAAAGAACATTAAGAACCGATTTATGCCTACCGATTCGTTACGGCTCTCCGACAGAAGAACCGGCTGATGATAATCTCGAAAGTCCTCGAGACGATGACAGAAGCGAAACCTTCTCATTTGCTTCTGCCGCTTAACGACTGCGTCTGTCCGCGGTAATCGCGAACGAGTGTTGAATTAAACTTTCTGACGATGCGACTTGCCTCGGCGACTATCCAATTACCCCTGGTGCGCGTTCCTTTTCATCAAATTACTGCAAATTTCTGTTTATAATTTCTGTTTTTTGCTGTGGGTAAAAATAATAAGAAATGGTTTTCTGTAGCCGACTGTCGTTCGAAATAAATATAAATAACGTTTATTAATTTAGAAATTAAATTCGAATGACGAAAGATATTAATCTCTTGCGATTGTACTTTCGACAGAACGAGCGTTTGACGATATTTTATATCGTGTTTCGTTAATTGTAATACCGAGGTCTTACAATTCTCTCAGACGTTCATTTACGCACGATTATTTATAATTTTGCAACGGACACACACATACACACACACACACACACAGGACATTCGCGAGGATATTCGTCGGCGGTTGCTTCGATCCAACGACGTATAACTCAACGCAATGAGCTGGAACGATGCCATTCCGCTACAGAATTTCGCGCAGCACGAGAGAAATGGAAACGTGAGAGCTCGCATGATTATTTACTCGCCTAATAGCTGTCACCGAACAGGAATATTAAGAAGCATGTGGTCAAGTACGTGATACTAGGATATTCCTCTTGCTGACGTGCACGTACACGAACTTGATAATTTACGCGGGATTACTGAAATTTTCTCGATTTTATTTTTCGTCTCACGTGCCCTAGCGATAGGAATTAACAAACGACGCTTAAATCGAATGAACGATCCTGAAATCACTCGCGGCGCGAATGTTTCAAATTAACGTGTGATTTCCAATGTTTCGACCGAACGTGTCGAGTAGTCGAGAGAGTGGATTTTCATTAAATATTATTATATTACGATATCGCTTTACTTTCGTCGGATTTCTAATTAATTTCGAAGGTACCTCCTACTTGATTGCAAATTGAACGATTGCGAGAGGGCACAACACAAACTTGGTGCTGAAATATTACGCAAGTTTGCGTACCAACATCAACTCTTCATCTAACGTAATAATAACTCGCTGATGCACTGGCTGCACTCTGGTTGCGCTGCACCCCCTAAAATCTCGTTACACGTCATACAGAGCTCCCTTAAATTTCATTATACGTTGTGTGTACACAGTGCGTGTTTACACCGCGTATCTATCTTTCCGAGAACTTCACGCGGGTAACTAGAAATCATTGTACCGTGTACTCTCGCTAGGATTGATCCTTTATACGTGCACTACGATGCACTGCGTTGTTTAAGTTGAATGAATCTTGAACGACGTGGGAGGTATCACACTTTTTAAAGTAAGAATGTAAGACTTTGTTTATTCATCCTTTTCTTTTTTCTATCAGAGCGTACTTTTAATTCACAATTTATAAAATGGTTTAACAGGCAATGTTACTGACGCATCAAATTATTTAATACATTATTTTAAAAATAAAGTAATTTTCAATTTCACAAGGTGGATGTATCTCTGATTCGAATGGACGTTGGGAGAAAATTGTCGAATGTAATAAAAATTATTTACTTTCTTATTATATACAAAAGTTGTGTACATAAAGGAACGACGTATGCCATGCGAAATATGTCGGTTAAGTTGTAAAGAAATTATTGGAGCGAAAATTGCGAGAACGCAGTAAATACTTTCGTTCAAAAATTATGCTTCCGCGGATTAATCGGGCAAAAGTAAAGTCAGTCGAGCCGCGTTACAGCCTTGGAAAGTAACTTGCCGGATATCGAGGGTCATTCGGTTCGCGAATGATTGAACGCGATTAAAACGCGCGTAAGAAACGTTCATTGGTTCGTACAGAATCTGTCGGTGCGGCGGTTGCGCCACAATCATCTCTGAAATTCCTCACACGGTGCACGGCACTCCACCGTGAAATCGATTTACCACGGATATCTAACGACCATTCGGGATTTATTCGCGGGAATTTCGGGCGCACGTACACCGTGAATCAGTGTACCGATGCAACGAAAATTGGGGCCCCCCGTGCAATTAATTAATACACGGTTGGTCTCGTTCCGCGAAACCTCACGGTTAATTATCGCCGGCCACTATAATCCCGGCGCTTAGCCCCTCTCGCGAGCTTCTGACATGGGATAAGGTGGCTTCCGGTGGAGCCGGGCCGACTTCGCCCGCCATTGCAATTGATCGACTCTGTTAATGGAGTATCAGACACTGGTCCGCAGCGTAATTCCGTTAATTGCGAGCACATCGGTTGCGTACGTTCGTTCCGAGCGTGTCGACTTCGCCGGCTACATTAATTAACCACGGTTATAACCGCCTGGATAGCTTAGCTACACCGTGCCGGCACACACCAGTACCTTATCCTGTTTAATACTCGACGGAGGGTCCGCGAAATTTATGGGGTATAATGTTTGATTAATCTCTCAGGCGGTGTTGGTTCGTTCGTTTGGTTCGTTCGTTGGCGAACAGGTTTTAAGAGCCGAATATCACTAGTCTCTATTAATTAACGATTATCCTCGAGGTGTTTGTCGTTCTTCATCTTGCGATAATCTGCTCTAGATTGCGTGGATCTGATCTCGATCGTAATCGCGGGTTTTTGTGTTCTTACGATTGTGATTGGAGAAATGGAATCCAAGTAGATTGCTATAATAAATGCTAAATGGATGTTTTACGTAATTTTTTTTATATCCCATGCATTACGTGCATTTTTACATTTCACAAAAATTAAAATTCTACAAGTTTTAAATTTTATAAAAATTTAAATTCTACAAAAATCTAGTTGTTATAGATTGAAAAGGATCGAGTTGTAAATAAATAAAAAGTGGATGTGTGGTATATAAAAAGGGGGGGAAAAAGTGGTAGGAAAGATGGCAGTATTTTGTTGTATTAATTATAAAAGGTATCGTTCTGTAGAAATTATTTTGAAAAATGTCTTTGATCTTGCAAAGAGATTGAAACAAGCTACGTTGCACATGGCATTGTCTGATATGGTTGACTTGTACTACTTACAATTTAAATTGTACTAAATTGATTACTCAGTTAGTTCACTTATACTATTCGCTATGAATTGAATCGTTTTATATTTTATCTTTTAATATTTCCGCCGTCTGATATTGCAAGATTCATACTACTTAAAATAGTACAGTCTGACTCACAGTAGATTGATACTGACTTCTTAGCGTCAGAAGAAAGTACTGAAAAGGAAATAACGTACACGTTGAGTATATGTTCACAGACTACAAACTTTATTACTTCAGAATGGTCTACCATTCTGTCAACCATAATTACCCTCTTCCCGCTGAAATTTCTATGAACATGATCTTTTAATGATCATCCCTTTCAATGCATAATCGATTTTACGTCTGTCCGTAGAATCGAACAGAATCTATCAAAAGCCTCGTAACGAAAAATTTTATATTCTCTTTTTCTTTTTCGCGTCGACGAAAATCCGCAATCATGGAACAACACGATAGAAACGTCTCTTTTCTTCCTTTCAGAAAACCATCAACCGGATTTCAAAAACCGTGCAAAATTCCCCGACAACAATGGAAAGAACAACGTCCATCGTCCCGATGAAACAACGGAAACGAAAATAGTTTCGACGACAACCAGCTGATGCACGCGTTTCGCCGTCACGTTGGCGGTTGGCTTGCGTCGACTCATTCCGCCGAGGCGTTAACGTATGGCCACGGTGTCACCTTGGTAAGTATAATACAGGTTATTCATGCCTCCTTGGCGTCGCTGAATCGACGGTGTGTCGCACGCGCGAGAACTTGGCACACGCACACGGACACGGACACGGACACACCGTCAGCCGCGGCTGAATGTGAAAACGCGCACGCTGGTCCTCCTCTTCATTCATGTGTCCTCGAGTGTCGGGATCCTTGTGTATACGGGCGTGCTTTTCACCGGCGGATTTAATTTAGATTCGCGTCCAGGTCGCTCAAGCGGGCGACGAAAGGAAAATGAAATGAAACGCAGAGGGGTTGGAAGGGTAAATTAGGCTGCGGCCTAATGACGTGACAAACCATCCGCCCTTTGAAAATCTGTCCCGTCTGCCAGTGTGTTTCTTAACGAGTGTCTCGCTATTTTTCGAACCCCACTCTCTTACCTTTCCCTCGTCGCTATCTTTTTTTTACAGGCCGAATGAAATCGTTTCATCTCGGTCTCGCGAGTTCTCCATTTCAAGTCACTTTTCGGCGAAGGCGCGTTTGATTTCTCTTCGCGAGAAGAAAATGAAGAGTCGAGGACGTGATTTGTCGAAGCCTCGGTACTTATTAATGCTCATTTCGCGGCGATAAGAGGAAATATTACTGTGAAAAATATTCAAAGCAACACTACTTTATGCGGAATGGTTGAGCAGTAAAAAAAAGTTTGAAAAGGATATACCTGAAGCAAAACGGTAATATAAAATATGATACAGAAAGTATAGTGAAATTTCGTTTCGTACAGGCTCCATTTATTTCGACTAAATTTAGCGAGTGTTCGATAAAGTGAACTCTCTCTCGCCGACTGAATATCCATTAATTTTGTGTAAAACTCCCATTATACGAACGCGAATTACGTAAATTATATATCCTTCAGCAAGTTCATATAAACAGAATTATGATTATAATGGATGAGGTGTATTATAAATATAACGCGCGTTGCTCGATTGACACGCATTGAGTCTCTTTTCCTACCGCATTATCCCCATTGGGTCAATAGGTCACAAAATTTCTATACACTTCGATGGTACGAATAGTTTTTCAACAATTTGTTCAATACATCTCGTTCTCGCTGGCGAAATATACATTTTCTTGTAGTTTTATAATTTTCACTTTGTTAATCTTTATTTTCAGTTTTATTTTAATATCTATTTTTCCTTTTGATCTTCCGCGTTATCTCTTCCCTCTCTTTCAATCACGCGACCGTTCTTAAAGTTGTTTTCACAACCTGGCACGAAATTTATTTCCTTTTGCCATCTCTTTTCGTGAAAATGTTGGTGTTTAATGGTTCGTGCTTGATATTACCGGGTCTGGCGAGAAACGAGGGAAAGCCATGCTAAACGAACGTTAATTGGTTCCACTTAATTAAGGAAATATTATCAAATTAATATTTTTGAGGATTCCCTGCTTCTTTTCAAACTGACGGAGTCAGTGACGGTGTGCTGGCAGCAGGCTAAATTGAAAATTCTGCCCCGAAGATCGCACGATGCCTCGGACGGTATTGCTCTAATTAAAAATTCGTTTCGATCGACTTCTGCAAAGTCGTTCTTGGTCGGTATTAAACGACAGAGAGCAGCGATCGAAAGTAAAGAAGAAAGAAAAAAGAAAAAGAAAAAATAAGAGAGAAAGAGAGATAAGAAAAGCTATCGTTCCACTCTTACCACAGGGAACTGTGATAAATTACGCCATTCATCCCGTACACGCACGATTCTCGTTCCCTCTCGGGTAATCAGTCCCCCGTCGTCGTCGTCGTCGTCGTCGTCGTCCTCATCGACGGAGCTTTATATTAAGCGATCCTATCGATGTAAAGTAATTATAAATAAAGCTCGTTGTAGAAATAACTCTCCGGCACGGCGTTTACTCGTTGTCGAATTAAGAACTTGTCAATCCGATAAATCGAGGGAGAAGAAAAGAGAGAGAGAGAGAGAGAGAGAAAACGGCGCGGAGAGGAGCGACAAGGGGGTGGGGGTGGCGGGAGGGAGGAGCAAAACGGCGTTGAGCGTTTATTAAATCAATTCGGGGCTAGAAAACGCGGAATGCCAGGGGCGCAGGATCGCATTACGAAGAAAATATATTTTCCTCCGCAGCGCGTCACTGCGCCAACCTATCAGGGTCGCGAGGCGGCGCAAGGTGGTAATTGCCAATTAACTGTAATTAATTCATTGAGCCAAGTGGCAGTGATCAAGCCAGCCATATCTTCGTCCCTGGGAACTCGGCCTAACGATCCAGGATCGGCTCCCGGACCGATCGAACGCCGAGGAGACACGTATCTGACAAATTTTAAGCGTCCCACTTCATCAATTTATGTATTTTCGTCGATTTTATTTAAGACGACGGTCTCATCGATCCGGCTTCAGATGCTCGCGCGAGACTCGCTGTAATCTTCTATTCAGATTGGGTAATCACTTTCGCACGATTCAGATTTAGATCACGACGGATGAATCTTTCCTTTGGTAATGAAAATTTGATGATGGAGTCGAGGAGTTGTTTGAAAAAAGAAAAAAAAAAAATGGTCTGTAAATTTTTGGTAAACATGTTCACGAAAGTGTTCGAAGATTATTTACGAATATATATTGCGCATGTTAAACGCAGCGTACGGAAGCGTTTCGACGAGATTCGATTTAAAGCTCGAAGTAAATCTGCAAAGATACGGAGAAGTTACGCGATGTTTAATTAACGCAGCTACATAGATTTCTGTAGAAATTATAGAAATATTCAGACAGTAAATTTATTCATTACGTCAGCGAACCGCAGTATTTAGCGAGAGCATTCTTAACTAGTTAATTGTGCTCGCCTGTGAATTTTCATTTCCCCCCGTTCAACGGCAGCAGCAATTTCTCTTTATACAGGTGAACGATCGGCGAGCGCGTGGGTGCGAATAACAAGCGTTCGAAATAAGAGATCGCGCGTAAGTTCGGCTCCGAGCTTTCCACTTTCAGGCGAACCTAGTGAATTCTGCGAATAAACGCGAAATTTTATGCATACCGGGAGTAATTTTTCGAGCTACGCCGGTCGTAATTAAAGCAGCTGACTCGATTCTAATTTTTCTGCACCGCGATGCCTGTTTCTGTTCCTTCTTCCTCTTTTTTTTTTCTTCATCATGCTTCACAATGAAGCGATTTGAATTCAAGATAGACCACGTGACATTTGCCATATGTAAAAACCGGCCGAATATATTCATAGTTGACGTCGGCATTCAATTTCCTGTGGCGCCTCGAATCGGAACAACCAAAAATTTCGAATTTTCCCCGGGACGCTCTCCGGCGTTCACCGCTCGCGGAGAAATGTTCGTCTGGAAAAATTTTCGTCCTTTGTCGATCGATCAATCACGTCGCGGCCATTGTTCATGCAGGTCAGAGAAATGGTCGCCCCGTTTCGGCGATCGTCGGCTGTATTTAACGAGCTCGGGAAGATCGGGAGCACGCGAATAAGAAGACGCCAGGGCGCGAACGATTCAAAGTATCGTTAGGGGAGCGGAAGATTGAAGTGGCGGCGTTTTCTTCGCCGTTTTTGCCTCTCACAATGGGACACGCCAGGAAATACGATCCTACGTGTCTCGTAACCCAGTTTCACGGATCATTTTGCCTCTGCACGAAAAGTCGATCGTCTCTCGCTCTCGCTCTCTCTCTCTCTCTCTCTTCTTCTCGATGGTTGCCCCGTTGTTTTTTCCCTCCTTTCAACTGTCACAACTGCAAAGGATCGTTTCCAGTGCAGAGATCTCTCTTCGACGAGAGATTAACGATTACAACGCGAGATCGGTCGCCTGACATGTCCGTCGCAGTATCGTTCTCGATACAATTCGCGCGCTCTATTCCCGAGGGGAGCGGTTATCCGTTCGAATTTTCCATTCGACACTCGGTTTCTAATTGGTCCGTTTCTAATTGGAGAATACCTGGCCGCGAATTCCGGAAGGACCTTTGTCCGGCTGGCGCACAGAGTGAAAGACACGGAAAACGGAATGCACGGTTACATCCCGCCTCCGCCTTTTCTTTCCTCGCGAGTCCCTCTTTTCTCTCTTTTTCTCTCACTCTTTTTTTATTCTCACCATTCTTTTTCGCCTCTCCGCCCCCTCTGTCTTTCTTCTTTCGTTTCTTTCATCGTTCAGCCTCCGTTCAGAAGACTGAAGCTCGAGGAATATCGCGATTTTCACGACCTGCGTCCCGATCCGAGCGAAATTGAAAGCAAATATTTTGAAAAAAAATCGTCGCGCCTTTCGCCGTCACTTCGCCGAGTATTTTCTTCGCCTGTTCTCGCCCGTTTCTTCGCTCCACCAACGCCTGTTTTCCTTTCATTCGTTCTTCTCCCCTTTCGCGGCGAAGTTTCTTTCGTTAACGAAGAACCGTAGTGGCAAGTGAGCAATCGTCTGTTTTTCAGCGTCGTTCGCTTTTTTTGCTTGGAAACGCCTTAACACCGAGAAAGTTTCGCGAGGAACGGGCGTGAGTAATTCCGACTGAGGAATAAGAAAAATTTGCTACCTCTCTCTCTCTCTCTCTCTCTCTCTCTCTCGCCTTCTCAAACGAGATCTTCTTAATTTTCTTTTAACTCAAGATGTTGATTTTTGGTGGAATCGATCTTCGTGAAAAGAAACGTGGCAACGATGACACGATTGCGAAACAAGTTCCTCGTTACATTCGTCGTATTTATAAAGCACATGTCGCAATTATATCGTCGGTTAATCGATTTCCAAATGTTATAAACATCTCGGTTTGCGAAACGCGGACGAAACGAAAGTAACGACGAGATTTCGTTCCACTCCACTTTCGCGCGATTCGTTTCACTTGCGCGTATAGTAATCTGTTCGCGTCTCCTCGAGTTCAAAGGGAATCGATTTTCGGAGCTACTTTGTTTTCGCGCTTTTCCTCCTGTTTACGATGACGCTCGAAAGCTCGAAGCACATATCACTGTCATTTATTGTTAAAAATTCATAAGATCTTTTTGCTCGCCTACCGCTCCTCCCTGTGACCAGAGAATTTATGTTCTACACGGGTTCTTTTTTTTTGTTTGTGTATACGTTGGTGCGGGACAAGGGAAAAAGCTCGTTTGCATATAATCTATTATATCGGAACGAATACGTGAGATTTCATTCTGATGTCTCGCTTGCGCC